TGATCATCTCCTCGTCTCTTCTTGGGACAAAGTATGTGTTAATCCTTCTCACTGTATCTGTATGCACACAAGTCTTAGCTCACGTATCATCTTTTCTAAACTAGTGATGCTTTGATTTGTTAATGTCTATCCTCTTACTTTTTAAATTAATGTGAAATTTGTAGCAGATCTGATACTATCGGTATCTGATTTGTAGTATTAGCTGTAATGTGAACGTAACGATCATTTTTTTTACCTAAAAATGGAAAAACATATCATTATCGTAGGAAACACTTGTTTATCTCTGAAAGGCGAAGTATGCGTTGGTGTCTCTCTTTAGAAACTGTTGAAATGCTATGTTTATTCTTTCTGGAAAAAAGATATGCAAACATGTCCTTGAGTATTTTGGAACTCATCTAATCTGGAAAGGATTGAGATCGGATACAAAACAAGTGATCAACTTAGAAAGCTAAAAGATCACAATTCAAATTGGTAGATCATAGTTGACAAATGATCTAACCAAAACTGCTACATTAAACTATCATAGCCTGAACAATCCAACACACTTTAGAAAACAAAACTGAAATGAAACATGCTTAGATGTATACAAGTAAGGATGGAATGAAGGTTACGTAGTAGTTAAGACATGAAGAGAAACTTAATTCATATCAAACTCATAACAATAAAGATCATAACCTGTTATTTGTTTGTAACAGCGTGTTCGTTTATATGATGCAAGTGCCAATGTGTTAAGAGGAGAGTTCCTTCATGGAGGTGCAGTTCTTGATTGCTGCTTTCATGATGACACCTCTGGTTTTAGTGCTAGTGCAGATAACACTGTCACAAGGTATGACTAAATGATGCATATACTTTCTTGGATTATTGACTTATCTTTTTCTTGACTAAGTTTCAAGCTACATTCCTTTTACGTCTCTCAGGCTTGTTTTTGACCATGAAAGAGAGGATCTTTTGGGACGCCATGATGCCCCTGTTCGCTGTATTGAGTACTCTTATGCAACAGGTTAGTGTCATTCATTTCATCATTTGTTTTCATTTTGTTAATATCATCATACATTCATACTTTCATTTCCTTCCATTACATCATTGTGTTTTCAGTTCTTTTTCTTGTTGGTGGTTTTTAGGGCAAGTGATTACAGGGAGTTGGGACAAAACATTGAAGTGTTGGGACCCACGTGGTGGAGGTGCACAGGAGCGTGCTCTTGTGGGGACATATGGACAACCAGAGAGAGTTTATTCTATATCACTTGTTGGAAACCGTGTAGTGGTGGCAACTGCTGGAAGACATGTTAATGTGTATGATTTGAGGAATATGTCTCAACCTGAACAAAGAAGAGAGTCTTCATTGAAGTATCAAACTAGATGTGTTCAATGTTATCCTAATGGCACAGGTATTTTGACCTAATTTTAAACCCTAAATCTTAAAAAAACCCTAATCCCTAATTGATGAAAGATGATGTTTTGTAGGTTATGCACTTAGCTCTGTGGAAGGTCGTGTTGCAATGGAGTTTTTTGAGCTTACTGAGGCTGGTCAAGCCAAAAAGTATATATATATATATATATATATATATATATATATATATATATATATATATATATTTATTACAATGAATTTCATGAACAAAAAAAGATTTCTTTCAGCTACTTTTAGTTTCTAGTGTTGGAAATTGATGCTTTCATGATTTCTTCAGATATGCATTCAAGTGTCATAGGAAATCAGAAGCTGGAAGAGACATTGTCTACCCTGTAAATGCCATTGCATTTCACCCTGTGTATGTTCTTTCTTTTTTTTACATTTTATATTAAATAAATATATACATTTATGCAAACACTTCAAATATAATAAAGAGTAAATTACATTTTGGTCCTTGAGTATAACTGGTTTTTGTAATTTTGCTTGAGTTATTTTGTAACCGTTTTGATCCCCGTTCCAAGAAAATGTCTATCGAGTAAATTACATTTTTGGTCCCTGAGTTTGTTCAAAGTTTACATTTTTGGTCCTTACACAATTTTGTTGTGGAAATGATTTTGGTCCCTGGGTTTGCTAAAAAATTATGTTTCTAATAGTTTCTCTTGCAAATTGATGGTTAGAAGAATTTAAAATAGGAGCCAAAATTGCAAGAGGAAACTGTTTGGGACCAAAGATGAAGTTTTTGAACAAACTCGAGGACCAAAAATGTAATTTACTTTTTGGGACTGAAATTGCAAAAATCTTTTGTACCCAGGGACCAAATATTTGTCAAGGGACTAAAAATGTTAAGAGGAACCTCAATTAAAATGAGGACCAAAGTTGCAAGAGAGAACATATTGGGACCAAAACTGAATTTTTTTGCTAAACTGGGAGACTAAAAATGTAAATTACTCTCTAATAAACATTTTTGGTCTGCCAGTTGAATTGGTTTTTTATTTTGGTCCTTTTTGTACCATTTCCAAGTAAAATGAGTATTTTTGGTACAATCAGTTATACTCAGGGACCAAAAATGTTACAATCAGTTATACTTAGGGACCAAAAGTGTAATAAAATATATAATTGCAGGTATGGGACATTTGCGACAGGTGGGTGTGATGGTTTTGTAAATGTATGGGATGGAAACAACAAGAAGAGACTGTATCAGTACTCAAAGTACCCCACAAGTGTTGCTGCCTTGTCATTCAACAGAGATGGCCGGTTACTCGCTGTTGCTTCCAGTTACACATATGAAGAGGGGGACAAACCGTAAAATTATTATTTCTTTCAACATTTATTATTTATTTTTTATTATTTATTTTTGGGGATAATAAGGTTTGTGTTTGTTTTGCAGACATGAACCGGATGCTATATTTGTGAGGAATGTGAATGAGGTGGAAGTGAAACCAAAGCCCAAAGTTTACCCAAATCCTCCTGCTTCATGACGACTGTAACTGTAACTCTAAACTGGACTGTGAATTGAGATTTAGCTTTGCTTTATATATATTCAATTCTATTCTAGTAAAACACCAATGTCAACAAGTTAATTCCAGTCTGTTGTATTTGTATACAATCATGCAGGAGGTTTATAATGCTTTTTCTTTTTCGGTTTTTTATTACTTGTTATACTTTACTTTAGGGGTGGCATTTCATGGGTTTTGGTTGTCCCTAAATGGGTTTGGGTCATTTTCGGGTCGACTGTGTAACTAGTATATTAAATGAGTTGTGTATGCGTTAATACTGCTATTCATGTTTGTAGATCGACTCACCAACCCTTTTATTTTGGTACATATTATTTTAAGTTTTAATACTATTCATCATTTTATTGTTTTGTGTTCATGGTTATTAGAGGGATTAAACTTGTTTATATATATGAAAGTCTAAAGACCAAACCTACAAACATGACAATTTATACAAGTTGAAAGGGGTGAAAATTGTCTTTGTTCAAATTTTAGGGGGGGGGGGGGATTAAAAGTGATTTACAAAATAAAATGATGGAAAGTGCCATTCTATAAAGTAAGGGGGTGGAAATTGCCAATATCCTAAAATCTAGGAACCAAATCAACCAAGGAAAACCAACATAAAAAAGTTAAAGTTTTGTGGCTAAAATATAAAAAAAAGCCAAATTTTGGCGCCAAAGTGTGAAATAATAAACTTTTATGGCCGATTTATTAAAACACACTAAAGTATTCATAAGGAAGTTGCTTTGACTACTGTTTAATATAAGATCTACTAATAACTTCGCAAGTTTGATCAATTAAAGATAAAGGTTAACAATAATTTTACGAAACATGATTCTGGAGCAGAATCATAACTAACTGTTGAGTTTGTATTCATTTGGTCATTTTTCTTTGGTACCAAATATATCATCGAACTTGTTGGTTGTGTCCAATATAACCATTTTGACCGACTTTTGACATGTGATAGTTGGTCAAAAGGTTATGTTGAACACAAACAACAAGTTCGATGGTATATTCGGTACAAAGAAAATGAAAGGGACAAAATGAGAACAAGCTCAACAGTTGGTGACCCTCTTGAATCATTTTCCCTCTACTCATTTATAGAAAATCACACATCTCATATTAATGACTTTATCTTGCTTCTCTTTAAAACATAACACACAAAAAAACATTATTCATACATGTACAATTTTGTAATGCACTTGGATATTTATTAAGGGAATCTTGATTAAGCAGGTGCATTTCATGATTAAATTTACATTTCCAATCAAACAATTTTTCGTATCATGAATTCTGGACAAGTCTACAAACGAATGGAATCACAAGTGCTGTGATTTTTGAGTTTACTTGGCTTTAAGATTGAATTTAAAGGATAAGATACAACATCAATATATACAAGATCATGCAACTTTTGCAGACACATCACCATAATATACCTTGAGGTAAACATTTATGTTGATAAAAATACCTCTCATACGCAGTCATATCCTTTTGCAGAGAGTTGTTAACAGCTAACCACAATAAGCATAACATAGACAATGTTTTAACGAAACTACCCCTCCAAAACGCTCTTTATGTACGTTATAGCCTAAGAAGGTTACAATCTTACTTTTGCAGCTATAATTTCATTTAATTTTTTTGAGGAAAATGACTCAGGAAGGTAACCAACTTTTGAGTTTGTTTTCATTTGGTCCTTTTTTTTTGGTATCCATTATACCATCGAACTTGTTGTTTGTGTTCACTATAACCCTTTGACCAGCTATCCAAGATCAAAAGCCGATCAAAAAGGTTATGGTGAACACAAACAAGTTCGATGATATATTGAATACAAAAAAAAGGAAAGAGACCAAATAAGAACAAACTCAATAGTTAATTACCCTTAAGAGTCATTTTCCCATAACTTTATAACCCGTGAACTTGAATGCGACGATTGACTTATAGACCACTGAACCCGTATAATAAAACAGGTTAGAAAGGTCAACCCGCAAACCTGGTTTTTTTGGAGTCATCTTGAAAACTTGAACCAAGCAAACCAACAACCTCCTATAGGGCATGTGGTTTTATAGTCGAAAGAAAAACCATAATAATCTATGTATATTCTCCGTGATAAAATTTGCATGAAAGGTAAAAAGTACACATATTATATAGGTCCAAAAGGTAAAAAAAAGTACACATTACTATTTTTTTTTGAGCTTCAAGTTATCACATTGTTCTACAGAAGGTCATAAATTCTTCCATTCATGACCATATACAATAATACATCCATCATTTCACATCTACCTAAATCCAGAAGGAGCCGCCTGTGCACCACCACCCGCACCTCTCCTTGCCGCCTTCGATTGCGCAAGAATCTCATCATAATTCTAAAAAAAAAAATCAAAACACGAAATTAAAAATACGTCAAAAACTCAAAATACAATCCAAACATATTTCATATTACATATTACCCGTTTCTCAAAAGCATTATCTCTTGAGCTAATAATCTTGTCAGCAATCCCATAATCAATGGCTTCTTGTGCTTGTAAATACTTAGGCCTCTGAATATCTTTCCTGATTTCATCTTTCGGTTTTCCAATTCCCTTTTCAAGTAGCTCTAGAAAGTAATCCGTGTTTGTATCCAATTCCTTTGCCTTAATCCACATGTCAATCGCAGCCCCACTTGACCGGTTGACTTTCGGTAGATATAATTTTGCTACATGAAAAAAAAAAATATATAATAATCATTTTGATTTTTTCAAGGAAAATGAGAAACATACTTGAACAATTCGGCTGCAATGCCCTAAACCCTTTGGTTCCAAGAGACAATAGCATTGCTGCTTGACCAAATGCCATCCCACAGTTGACCGTATACACCTCCGACTTACAGTACTTGAGGGCAATTTCGGAATTAAATAAATCATATCAGTAAAATCAAAAAAATAAATAACCTAAAAAAGATAAAATGAATCGTTTTGATTTCTTACAGCCATGATGTCAGCAATGGCGTATGCTTCTGTTTCAGACCCCACTGTCTCCATTTTATCATTCTACAAAAGAAAATTGTTATTTCTTGTATTTAGTAACTTAACCTTAAAAGAAACAAACACACACACACACACACCTGTGTTCCAGAGGAATTAATGTAAAGATAAATAGGCTTAGCTGGATTATCATAATCCAACCACATAAATTGAGCAACAAGAAGTTCAGTCACTGCAGGAACAATCTACAACAACCAAAATTATACTTAAATTCATTTTAAAAAAAATTAAAAATTAAAAATTAAAAATCGAAAGTACAATGTTATTTCTTACAGGCATTCCTAGGTAACAAATACGAGCATCTAGAAGCAGTGATGGAAGATCAGGAGGTGCACTTCTAGGTCTTCCGGAAGCTCTGCCGCCACCTCCGCGATACATGCTGACACTCATACTGTATTTTGCGGGCCCCCTGTTGTTCGTTCCTGATAGGGTCCACATTCCTCCGTGGTTTAAGTAATTATGAGATGATGAAATTGTTTCCTGTTAAAAAATATATAAAACAATGTGTAGATGTTAAAAAAAATAAAAAACATAAAGAAATATATATAAAGAGTTATAAACAGACCTCTGTCACGGATTCTGCTTGCTTTCTTACGGGATTATCTTCTGTCATGAACATGTCCATTTGTGTAGGACTTAAACCATAAAGGTGTTGAGGGACATTTTTGTAATTTTCCATCACTGCAAAATATTTAGGGTTTCATTCAATCCACTTAAGGGACATGTTTCAATTTCAATTTAGGGTTTCATTAATCTCAGATCAGAAGGTTGGAATATAAGTAGAGGCAAAGCTAGACATAATCATAATACACGAAAAGATATGGAGAATTGAATTTAAGGTTCATAGACATGAAAACAGAATAAAAACTTGGGGGGAAAGTAGATTTAAAGGTGGATGAGTGAAAGGGAGGAGACTCACATCCGTCTTTAAGGTTTCCTTCCCTAAACTGCTTCGGTATGTAATCCAGAGATTTGTCGGCGGCGGTGACCGGAGACCTGATACATCTTCCCCTAATCGGAGCATCTTTCCTCGAAGGAGCATGGAGAAAATGAGTGGTGTTGTGGAGAAAAGATGATTTCAAGAACAGAGTGGTGAAACTGCTTGACTCCCGATTATTGTCGACTGTCGGAGCGGATAGAGGTGAAAGGAGTAGCGACGTCGCCATGAAACTCTCTGCAGTCTGCAACAAAACAAAGGGTTTGAAATGGAATCTGGATTTATCTCTATTTGTTTAATCTTTCTATAAATTTGATTTATGTGACCAAGAACGACGATGAGGACGCTAGTTACCTTACGTCTCTTCCTAACGGCGTTGATGGTTCTACTGTTACCATCATGGAGGTCGATCGGGTTTGTTTACCGGGTCCGAATCGGTTCACTAGGCCCGAATGATCTTGAAATGGGCTTGGGTCAGTTTGGGCTCTCCCATACCATATCAGGTAAATGTTCACGAACAAGAAATTGGTTTGGGACTAGTAAACGGGTCTTAACTCTTAAAATCGAATGGGTTTGGATTAGAAACTGGTTTCCAAATCTACAATATAATATAAAAAATTATAGGTTTCATAATTATTTTTTTAAATTGTCGTTGACACAAAGGTTTTGGAGGTTTTATCAAATTTCACCCAACCTTTTTTTGACCACCCAAATCCAACATAACCTCATCAACGGGAAATCTAGTCAAACTAAATGAAGATTCTCCTGACCTGAAAGATCTAAATTCAATACCCATTTTCTGGCAAATCCAAACATGCATGCAAAGAGATGTCTTGAAGCGTATTTGTGAACTTCAAACCAAAATCATATACAAAATCTATATCTAAGGGAAACTGGAAAGAAACATAAAGGTTGAGACTTTGAACAAAGGTCCGTAAATGTAATGAAATGGTTGGATCTATTTTGAATTTAAGCTTCCTCGTACCAATATGGACTTCCTTCACCTCCAAATAATTCACAACCAAGACACAAAAGCTCTAAGAACACAAGTATGGATTCTAGGGTTTGAGAAAAAGATGTATTCTAGGGAATGGGGTTGCCAAATTAGACAATCCTAGGAGTTAGTGCCTTTAAATAGGGCCTAATGCCCGATAAATTAGGGTTTCATTTGTCGGCTAAGGCACGTCACTCCCTAAATGAGGCGCTCCATGGGTTGCCACATGTTTAACGCGTCACGACCAACCATTATCACATCACCTTCAGTCTTAAAATTCAAAACTTATTGAATAAATACATATCGGAAAATCAGGTGTCATAGTTGTGGTTTGTGTATTGTACCAATCCAGATACACTTTCAAACCTTATTTTTATTCGTCTCCTCTATACATAAATGTTTGAATTGAAATCTTGTTTTTATATTTTTGTGGTCCACTTTTCTAATGAGTTCTCTGCTACAACACACATCGTGACTAAATACTAGTTATTTTAAAAAGTCAAACTATTAACTTTTGTTGTATGGGTATAATATCATGTTGGGCTTTTATTCAAAAATGTTTCAAAAACATAAACATGGGAACAGAAGATGGTTGTTCTTTAGCTCTCGTTTTTCATCACACATTCACAGAACCCTTTAGCATAATAGCTTACGTTTTCTGTGCCTAGAAACATAGGTGTCCGCTTGGATTATCCTAGACTGAATTTCTTATAACCCAAACATAGGGTAGAAATATCAGTTCGGAAAGTGATATCAAGATCCAAGCTGGTATCCAGATCTCCACCGCAAATCCTAAAATTCCCAACAGGATACAACCAAACACACACCAAAAACTGTGGTGGGAGCATGTTCTATTATTCTCGACATGTTCCTGACCTTTTTCCTTCCGATTATAATGAAAACTTGATGACTTTTTCCCTTCTAAGTTTGTAAGGATTCCTAACTCAAAATGTGACTTTAAAGACTAAAAATCCATGCATGGCTCAAAAAGAGTGCATGAACACTTAATTTTCTTCTACCAAAATATCTAGAATGCTTTCTAGTCCAAACATATTGTTCTAGAGTTCCCCAAACTCTAAGAACATCATAAAAAGAGACCAAAAGGTGTCATTGATGTATTGTTTGCACTACTCTTTGGTATATGTGGCGCTTTCGAAATGATCGAGCTTTTGACGGAAAGAAGATTGGGAGAAATCAAATTGTTGATGCGATAAAGGAATTTTCTTTCAATTGGTTTTGTAATAGGAATGTTAATTGTTCCGAAAACAGGGCTTGCTGTCTCCAACAACATATAAACTTGATGTAATTGCTTTTTTTTTTCCCTCTAGTTCCTTGCTAAAGCTTTTATATAATTTGGTTGTTTCTAAAAAAAGGACCAAAATCATATACAAAATCTATATCTAAGGGAAAGAAACATAAAGGTTGAGACTTTGAACAAAGGTCCGTAAATGTAATAAAATGGTTGGATTTACTTTGAATCTAAGCTTCCTTGTACCAAAAATGGACTTCCTCCACCTCCAAATAATTCACAACCAAGATGCAAAAGCTCAAGCACACAAGTATGGATGCTAGGGTTTTAGAAAAAGATGTATTCTAGGGAATGGGGGTTGCCAAATTAGATAATCCTAGGAGTTAGTGCCCTTAAATAACTCCCAAGGCCCGATAAATTATGGTTTCATTTGTCGGCTAAGGTACGTCACTCCCTAAATGAGCTGATCCATGTGTTTCCACATGTTTAATGCGTCATGACCAACGATTGTCACACTGCGGTTCAGTTTAAAACACAAAACTTAATGAATAAATACATACCGGAAAATCAGGTGTCACAGTTGTGATTTGTGTATTGTACCAATCCAGATACACTTTCAAACCTTATTTTTATTCGTCTCCTCTATACATAAATGTTTGAATTGAAATTTTGTTTTTATACTTTTGTGGTCCATTTTTCTAATGAATTCTCTGCTGCAACACACATCGTAACTAAATACTAGTTATTTTAAAAAGTCAAACTATTAACTTTTGTTGTATATGTATAATATCATGTTGGGTTTTTAATCAAAAATGTTTCAAAAACATAAATTTGGGAACAGAAGACTTTGATTTTGAACAAAATAAAAATAGTTTTATTCTCACCAAAAAATCACATTGCAAGACTTAGAAAGATAAAAACAACCATAGAAAAAGTGATACAACATTTAAAGACTTTGATTTTCATGGAAGATTGGAAGTTGATGAAGTGTGGCATGAAACTTCATGATAGAAGTTCTCTAGAGATATCCATCGATAATAAATCAACTTGATAAGACGTTAATCTTCTTCTTGTAATAATAAAATCTCTTAAGCTCTTAAGACAAATAAACTAGTTTGCTTTAAAAGAGAGTATTCAAGTATCATCTTCATCTTTATGTTCTTAACACTTTAAGAGACAAAAACTAAAGAGAATATAGAGATGGGAAGCCACAAATTCCATGGTTTTCACTTAGTGAAAGAAGTGAGAAAACTAGTTCTTTTAAGTCTTTACTTTAAGCCTCTATCCCATGGGTCTTAGCACTTTAAGACACATGCTCCATCAAATCAACTAGCCATGCTTTTTAAGAGCATGGTGTGTGTAATAAATTAATCAAAAGCAAGTCTTCTTTTATTCTTTATGGTCTCCTTGAATATTTTATAAAAAGAAGAAGCTACTTTTTCTGTAAAAACTCTTCTTATCTTTATAACTTATAAAACATAGTGTTCTAAAAGACGCGCCATGGTGTGAGGCGTGGATTCGCCGTTAAGAAAAGTTTTATAATGTTGCTGTTAGGCGTGGAGCATGGCAAGGCGTGCCATGACGCGTTATGTCGTGTGTTTTTTTGTTTTAGACACATTTTTTTGCTATATTTTTTTTGTCTTTTATGATCGAGGATACAAGTATTGTGTTTTTTGTTAACTTTTTGTTATTAGTTCTTGATATAACACTTCTAAAAAGTAGTTATATTTAATATAAATTTATATTTATGTGGTAATATAATTATAAATTAATATAAAATCGTTGCTTTACATCACGCCTTGAAAATCACCATGGCTTGTTAAGCTTGAGACTTGGCCTTGCGCCACGCCACGCCTCACGCCGTTTAGAACCTTGATAAAACATATAAATCCATATAAGACAAAAAACCCTTTTGGTCTAAAAAGATGTACATGACATAATAAATCATACCTTATGATATATTATGATATATTTGGATACTTAACATTGAAAACTAATATTTCCATGAAATAAATAATTTACAATTAATTACAATATATATATATATATATATATATATATATATATATATATATATATATTAAGAATCAAATTCTTATAAAGAATATATTTGCATCAAGTTGTTGTTAGTATGACCCTCTAGGATCATATATTATCTAGCAATATCATTCTATAATGAATCTCAAACATATAAATCTTTCAATCTCCCACTTTCACAAGACTCATCATAAATTGATATAGATAGTAGTGAACGTCTAACAACATTTCATTGCCCCCAGTAATATATTACTTAATATTATTCTATCAACATCTAATTCCAAAAAGTTCAAAGCCTCAATTAATGTATAAGATAAGTTTATCAGTTATCCCTTTATCATAATATCCTATTAAATATGACATTTGGATTGCATCAATCTCATTTGGAGTTCAACTTGGGGTTACGCGCGTTAGATGTCTGGCTATATAAATATTTTCTTGTAGATGTCTATTAAGAAAAGCAGTCTTTCTTGAAATCTATTTGCTATGTCTCATATTAAGAATATGAAGTAATAGTAAATAATATCCTTGTTGATCTAATCATAGCTACTTGGGAAAAGGTTTGATCATAGTCAATGTAATTAGTATGATAAGGACCATAGTCAATGACACGAGTATGATAAAATCCTTTTTTGACAACCCTTGCTAAATATGTATGATATTCATGTATTTATTCTTTCTAAAGAATCTCTTACTCCTTCCAGCCTTGCTATAGATAGAAATATTAATCATTCTCATACTTATTATACATAAATTACATCTCAATGTTCATGACTCTAAGTCATTTATCAAATTCAAGACTCGATATAAACAACTTGGTAGTTGATGGATTTGCCAGAAACCATTAAGAAAAACTCATCAATGAGAGATTTTTTATGTTTTTGAATAACTATTATTCAAGTTCAACAATTTCTTGTTGAAACTAGTGCTAACAATTGTTACATCAGACCATGGTTCTTGAGCATCTTCAAGTTCCATGTTCCTCCCACTTTCTTTGTCACTAGAAGCTTGCTTTCTACTGACTCAACATTCAGAAGAATAAGAGAAGTTATTCTTTATGGGTTTGTATTAATAATCTAAATGCCCTTTTAGAATATTCTATAGATATGTAATTTGTTGGTGTTTGTATTCATTATACAATTAATAGTGATTAATGTATACTCCCAAGAACATAAATAAATATAATTTCTACCGATTAGAAAGTAAACTTTATTCGGTAAGGTCTAATTCATCCTTCATTATCACTTAAAGCTTTAGATGGTGTTACTAGATTGTATCTCAACTTTATATTTAAAAGCTTTAACCAATATTTCTCAATTATACTTTACTATGTAAAATATAATTATAACTAATATACTTGTCAATAAACTTGATTTTGTATCTTACATTAATTATTAGTCATTCATTAGAAAAAAAGTCATACACCATAATGTATAGTTCATTAATAATTATTTTCTCTATACTTTAGTGAAAATATGATTAGCAATCATTTATATGCAAAATAAGATTGACATAT